TAAAAATAAGCCTTATAATTCTTTACTAATTAGTAATAAAAATAATACTCTTAATGTTTCTAATCCTGTCAATGATCCTAATAATCTACAAGGAAATATCCTTGATGAATATAAGGAACCAGATTCTGAGGATGAGTATGATGGTGATACTCAATCCTTAGTTGAAGGTATTGAACCTGGAGAGGAAATAGGTACAGATCACCAATTTCAAAAAGTCCCTTTACTAGATAACTCTAATATGGATGAAATTAGGGATGTCACTGGTAAACAAGGCCTTTCTCCAAGAGGTAGGAAGTTACTGAAACAAAATAAGAATACTAGCACTAGTAAACCTAATACAAGAGCTAGAAGTAGAGGTTTTTGATGATTAAGGTTATATGTTGGAATGCTAGGAGCATTAATACATTTGGTGCTCTGGAAAGGCTTATTAATCTTAGGAAAATTCATAACCTTGCTATGATTGCTATTTTAGAACCTTTTACTAATCAGTCTCATCTGGAATTTTATAGACTGCAGCTTTTAATGAATCAAGGACATTGTAATCCAAACAACAAAATCTGGTTATTTTGGTCCACTGAGGTAACTTGTAACATTTTAGAGAGTGATCAACAACATGTTACTTGTGAAATTAGCTATGAAGGCTATAGTGAAAAATTTCTTATGACCTATGTTTATGCAAAATGCAAAGACTCTTTGAGGAAGCCTCTTTGGGATAGTATGCTAAGATGGTCTACTACTGTGTATCCTTGGTGTATTTTAGGAGATTTTAATGTGATTTCTTCAACTCAGGAAAAATTGGGAGGCAGAGAGTATAATATTAATAAAAGCCTAGAGTTTATTGATGTTATTGCTTCTTGTGGTCTGATGGATATGGGATATAGTGGTCAGCCATACACATGGTGTAATCATAGGAAAGATGGTTCTAGGATTTGGAAAAGATTAGATAGAGGTCTGGTTAATGATAAATGGCTTGATAAAATGCCCTCTACTAACATTACCCATTTGTCTTCTGTGGGATCTGATCATTGCCCTTTATTAATGGAAGTAATTAAGACCAATGATACTGTAATTAAATATTTCAAGTTCCTCAATTGTTGGACTGAGAATGACACCTTTTTACAAACTGTTGAAAGGTGTTGGAATAAGACTGCTGTTGGTAACCCTATGTGGATCTTACATACCAAGATGAAAAGATTAACTAACACCTTAAGAGACTGGTCAAAAAAGGAATATGGAGATATTTTTGAAAAACTAAAACAATATGAAGAAAAGGTCAAAGAGGCTGAAAGTAATTATATCATGGATAATAGTCAGGAAAACAGAGAAAAGTTGTATGCTATTAATGCTCATTATATTAAGTATTTGAAGCTGGAACATGCCATTCTTCAACAAAAAACTAATTTACATTGGTTAAAGGAAGGTGATGCTAATTCTAAATACTTCCATGTTGTTATTAGAGGTAAAAGAAAGAGAATGTTTATTCATAAAATTATGGATGAGAAGGGTGGATGGATCCAAGGAGAGGATCATATTGCTAGAGCAACCTGTGACTATTATAAAAATATTTTCAATGGAAATACTGATAAAATTAATGAGGAGAGCCTTCAATGTATTCCCAAGTTGGTTACCAAAGAACAGAATTCTGAATTGGAGAGAATGCCTAATGAGGAAGAATTGAGGAAGGTGGTGATGAATATGAATCCTCATTCTGCACCAGGTCCAGATGGCATTGGTGGCAAGTTCTACCAATGCTGTTTTGATATAATTAAAGATGATCTCCTAGCTGCAGTGCAAGCCTTCTTTAATGGCTTTGAAATGCCTAAATATATGACTCATTCCTGTTTAATCCTTTTACCTAAAGTTGATCATCCCTCTAAACTTAAGGATTTTAGGCCTATTAGTCTTAGTAATTTTACTAATAAGATTATTTCTAAGATTATTAGTACTAGACTGGCTCCTATATTACCCTTCATTATTTCAGAAAATCAATCAGGATTTGTAAAGGGAAGAAGTATTTCTGAAAATATTATGTTGGCTCAGGAAGTGATTCATAGTATTAAATTACCTAAAGAAGGGAAGAATGTGGTTATTAAACTAGATATGATTAAGGCTTATGACAGGGTTTCTTGGACTTATACCTGTTTGGTGCTAAGGAAAATGGGTTTTGGAGAAATGTTTATTGACAGAATCTGGAGAATTATGAGCAACAACTGGTACTCAGTGGTGATTAATGGTAAAAGACATGGATTCTTTCATTCTACTAGAGGTTTAAAGCAAGGAGACCCTTTATCCCCAGCACTATTTATTTTAGGTGCTGAGGTTTTTTCTAGACAGCTTAACTCTCTCTATAATAATCCTGATTATATAGGTTTTCAGATGGATAGTAAAGGGCCTCAAATTAATCATCTTTCCTTTGCTGATGATATTATTATTTTCACATCCACTGATAGGTTCTCTTTACAGATCATTATGAAAACAATTAGAGAGTATGAATTGATTTCTGACCAAAGGGTTAATAATGATAAAAGTTTCTTTATGGTTACTAATAAGACTAAACAGGATATTATTGATACTATAAAAAATGAAACTAGTTTTGGTATACAACACAGCCCTATTACTTATCTTGGTTGTCCTCTATATATTGGAGGTCAAAAGATTATATATTTCTCTAATATTGTGGAGAAGATTATAAAGAAAATAGCAGGATGGCAGGCTAAAATCTTAAATTTTGGAGGCAAAGTTATTTTAGTGAAACATGTATTGCAGTCTATTCCAATACATATTTTAGCTGCTGTATCTCCTCCTAAAACTATTCTCAAACAAATCCATAAAGTGATTTCTGATTTCTTTTGGGGTATTGATAAAGATGGAAAAAAATACCATTGGGCATCTTGGGAAACTCTAGCTTATCCAACTAGTGAAGGTGGTATTGGTGTAAGAAATCTTCATGATATATGCACGGCTTTTCAGTATAAGAATTGGTGGGAGTTTAGGACTAAATCTTCTTTGTGGAGCAAATTCCTTAAAGCTAAATACTGTAAAAGAGCCAATCCTATGTCCAAAAAATATGACTCTGGAGACTCTTTGGTTTGGAGATATTTCACTAAAAATAGACAGGTTGTGGAATCTCATATTAGATGGAATATTAAGTCTGGTAATTGCAGCTTTTGGTGGGATAATTGGTTAGGAAATGGTGCCCTAGCTAATCTTTGTATTAATGTTTCCAGCCTTAATAATAAAACTGTTTCAGAATTCCTTACTAATGGTATGTGGAATGAAAGACAAATTAGGCAACATGTTCCACCAGTATTGGTACCTCAGGTTATGCAGCATCTTTTAAAATATAAATTAGACATAGATGATCAGGCTATTTGGACACCTGCAGACAATGGCCAATTCTCTATTAAGTCAGCTTGGGAGATCATTAGAAAGAAGAAGTCTAAAGATATTATTAATAACAGTGTATGGCATAAACAACTACCTTTCAAGATAGCTTTCTTTATTTGGAGAGCTTTGAGAGGCAAACTTCCAACAAATGAAACAATACAGAAGTTTGGAAGGGCTGCTGTAGAGTGCTACTGCTGTTATAGAAAAGGCACTGATGATATTCAACATATATTGATCACTGGCAACTTTGCTAAATATATATGGAAATACTATGCAGCTACTGTTGGAGCAATACAAACAATTACTGATTTGAGAAGCTTGTTATTATATTGGAAGAATCTACCCTCTCTAAATCAGGTATACAAATTAGTTATTTCTGTTTTACCTAACATTATTTGTTGGCATTTGTGGAAAAATAGGTGTGCTGTGAAATATGGAGATAAGAAATCAAGTATCCATAGAGTTCATTATGGCATTTTTAAAGATGTCATGCAAACCATTAAAGTAACTCATCCAAATATTCCATGGCAACATAGTTGGTTCAGTTTGATCAAATTTGTTGAACAAAGCCAACAGCAACTAAGTGTGATAATGGTTAGTTGGAGCAAACCACAAGAAGGTATCTACAAACTTAATACTGATGGAAGTGCACTCCCAAGTTCTGGAAAGATTGGAGGAGGAGGTATATTAAGAGATCACAAAGGTAATTTACATTATGCATTTTCAATACCCTTTGGTTTAGGCACTAACAACATTGCAGAGATAGAGGCTGCGAAATATGGATTGAATTGGTGCGAACAACATGGTTATAGAAACATTATATTAGAAGTAGATTCTAAAATTCTGTGTAAATGGATAAACAATACAATAACAATTCCATGGAGATGTCAACACACAATACAACAAATACAAGACATTGGAAGAAAATTGGATCATTTTGTATGCAGGCATGTATATCGAGAAGCCAATGTTACAGCAGACATGTTGTCAAAATAGAGTCACAACCTGGACATTCTTCAACATTTTTATGTCACAAGACAACTCAAAGGAGCCATTCGAGGAAGCTATATATTGGAGAAGATGGGTATCCAAAACTTTAGAAGAAGGAAACTCAAGAGAATAAAATATCCTCCTTAGAAATACATCTTATCATAATTGTATAGGAATACAAATGTCATTAAACTTATTCATCAAATGTTTTATGATAGAATAAGTTTACTATTTTCATTATCCATGTAAGGGGAGAGTCTCCCTCATTTATGCTTTTAGAAAGGGTAGTATTATTTTCTAATTGTCCATCTTATTGTATAAGGGTGAATTGACTATCTTAGTAGATGAGTCAATTACATACCTACCAAATATTAGAAGGTAAGGTGAATGCCCCCCTTCTTGTAATACTTTGTTTTGATATATGTTAAGGCCTGGGGGTGTTGCTAAGCCCCTGACCCACCCCAAGGGTCGATTATACTAAAAAAAAAACCCTAAACCCTAAACCCTAAACCCTAACCCCTAAACCCTAACCCCTAAACCCTAAACCCTAAACCCTAAACCCTATGCCCACCCAACCCCGATCCACCCCTGATCGGCGCCCATCCCACCCATTCTGACGGGCGCTGCATAGATCAGCAGCAGGAGGAGGTCGCGCCACCTTCCCCGACCGGAGCTCCGTGCGCCTCGATCAGCAGCAGCAGCAGCAGCAAGAGGAGGTCGCAGCATCACCGCAGAGGCGGCAGCAGCAACAGCAAATTTCGGCAGATTAGTGATTTAGCTTCAGCCAGAAATTGATCTTCAATGTCAGGAGAAGTTCAGATGAGTTCAGAAAAGCAACCACGAAGAGGACTGTCATGCACCCGTTACTTCGTTGCACTCTGGTTCTGCTACTCTCCTGTCCATCAAATGCAGCAATATTATAGACTTGGTGCCCTTGATAATTGTAGTAAGAAATGGAGTGGTCTCGTTGATTGTCTGACTTTAAAAACCAAAAGGTCTTCTGAAGTGGAGGAAATTTTAGAAACACGCGAGAAAGCGAAGCCTCACCAGTGGTCAACACGAACCCCTGAAGAAGCCGCAGCTTATTGGAGCGAACTCTTTGACCATCTAGATGAAGAGTAAAACTCTTAAGACCTTTTCATCAGACATTTGCTCAATCAATACGAGAAAGATTATTATATCATTTGAAATAATCTTCTCCCCAATGATGCTTGTTTCAAACATGTCTTAGAGGCACCATGGTTATCAAAGTGGGTTTCTAAAGAGGCACCAGTTTAGGAATGTTTAGAATAGGAACATTGTGTAGGAAAATCTTCTTTTTCCTTAAGTGATTGAAGCAGCATAAACAAATTCCAACAATCTTAAACGTCAGAGTAACACCACCTTCTGATTCAGATGAAAAAAAATAAAAAATAAAAAAAAACCCTAAACCATAAACCCTAAACCCTAAACCCTAAACACTGAACCCTAAACCCTAACCCCTAAACCCTAAACCCTAAACCCTAAACCCTAAACCCTAACCCCTAAACCCTAAACCCTAAACCCTAAACCCTAAACCCTAACCCCTAAACCCTAAACCCTAACCCCTAGACCCTAAACCCTAAACCCTAACCCCTAAACCCTAACCCCTAAACCCTAAACCCTAAACCCTAACCCCTAAACCCTAACCCCCTAACCCCTAAACCCTAAACCCTAAACCCTAGAATGGCCTCCCCACATTTGGATGGGATATATAGGTGAGGATATAACTGATGGAAGATGGCAAAAATTGAATATGATAGCATTCCAGCCTAATGTTTCTATTGCAAACATCAAGGGCATAAGGAATTAGATTGTATTATTAAAAAAAGGGATGTTGATAATAAGCAAAGGAAAGAGATGGAGAAGAATAGCAACAGGCAAGATAATGTTCAAAATAATAGTAAAGACATGCAAATTTCTAAGCATCTGGAAGCAGGTAGAGGAGAGACATCCTATAATCCACAAAGAATGCAAGCAAATGAGAATCAACAACATATTATCCAGGAAGAATGGCACACACAAAGAAGAAGGAATAATACTCAGTAAGTCAGATTAATACAAACAAATCTGCACACCAAAAGCCTCAGACTCATACAGGTAATGTGGCTATCCCTATAAAAAATACCTATATTGACTTGGAAGTGCAGGAATTTACATATCATAGAGGAGGTGGGGAGGAATATATGGAACATGGCCTACAGCATAAAGAAGCTCTAAACAGGACATCATCAAGTCAAGCATATAATAAAGGAATCAATGACAAGAGGGATCAAAGAAATAGACAACAAAGGAGGGATACTCAGGATCCTAGGATTGAACAAAGTGGTTATCAACAGGAGAAAATTAGCAGATCAGGTATTGACTCAATGCTCCCACTCCCTACACCCCTTAATATTACTGATGTAAATGTTAATACTTCTGTTGTTGAGACTTCTGCTGGTGTAGTTGTTGGAGGTTTGGATGGAAGTGGTCAGGAGAAAGATAGTATTACTCAATCTAGATTATCTATAGGAAAAGGTAAAATTGGTGAGCAGGGGTACTTAAATGACAAAGTACCTCCTGATAAAATCAATTTTAATCAATTTCAACAGATGAGTAATAAGAAAAATACCTCTAATGTTTCTAATCCTGGCAATGATCCAAATATTCATCAAAGAGATAATCTTGATGAATATAAGGAACCTGACTCTGAGGATGAGTATGATGCTGATACTCAATCCCTAGGGGAAGGAAGGGAGACAGGAGAGAATGTAGGTACTTCTTACCAAATACAAAAGGGTCCTTTGTTACATAATTCTGATGCTGATGAAATTAGAGATGTAGCATGCAAGCAAGGCCTTTCTCCAAGAGGTAGGAAACTGTTGAAGCATAACCAAAATACTAATATTAGTAAACCTAACACTAGAGCTAGAAGTAGAGGTTTTTGATGATTAAGTTGCTTTGTTGGAATGCTAGAAGCATTAAGACTTTAGGGGCTATTGAAAGATTGATCAACTTAAGAAAGATTCATAACCTGTCCATAATGGCTGTTTTGGAACCTTTCTCTAACATTTCTCATCTAGAATCTTATAGAATGCAGATGCTGATGAATTGTGCTCATAGTAATCCTAATAACAAGATTTGGTTATTTTGGTCAAATGAGGTAGTTTGTAAAGTTTTTGACAGTGATCAGCAACAAACTACCTGTGAAATTACTCATGAGCAGTGTAGTGAAAAGTTTATTATCACCTTTGTTTATGCTAAGTGTAAGGATCAATTGAGGAGGCCACTATGGGAAAATATGCTTAAGTAGGCTGATACTAGTTATCCTTGGTGCACCATTGGGGATTTCAATGTGATATCCTCTACTCAGGAGAAACTAGGGGGCAAATCATATAATATTAATAAAAGTCATGAGTTTCTCAGCATTATAGAGGCTTGTGGTTTGATGGACATGGGTTACAATGGTCAGAATTATACATGGTGTAATCACAGGAAAAATGGTGATAGAGTGTGGAAAAGACTAGATAGGGGTATGGTGAATGACAAATGGTTGGACAAGATGCCTCAAAGTAGTATTACTCATCTTCCTTCTGTTGGTTCTGATCACAGTCCTTTATTGATGGAGATGAATAATAATCAAGCCAATTTAATTAAGTATTTCAAGTTTCTCAATTATTGGACTGATAATGACTCTTTCTTATCAACTGTGGACAAGTGTTGGCAAAGGAAGGTTAATGGTGAGCCTATGTGGATTTTACATACAAAGTTGAGGAGATTAACTAAAACCTTAAGAGAGTGGTCAAAAAAAGAGTATGGTGATGTATTTGAAAGGGTAAAACAGTATGAGGAAGTTGTTAAAGGTGCTGAAGAAGATATGATCAGGGATAATAGTAGTGCTAACAAAGAAAAGTTATGTGAAGCTAATGCAAATTATATTAAATATTTGAAATTAGAATATGCTATTCTCCAACAGAAATCTCAATTACATTGGTTGAAAGAGGGAGATGCAAACTCTAAATATTTTCATGTTGTGATTAGAGGTAAAAGAAACAAGATGGTTATTCATAAAATCATGAATGACAGAGGTGAATGGATTCAGGGTGAGGATAATGTTGCTAAGGAGGCCTGTGACTACTATCACAATATATTTACTGGAAAATCTGACAAAGTTAATGAGGATTTGTTACAATGTATTCCTGAGTTGATAACAGCAGAACAAAAGTTTGATTTGGAAAAAATGCCTACTATGGAGGAGTTGAAAAGTATTATTATGAGTATGAACCCCAACTCTGCACCAGGACCTGATGGGATTGGAGGCAAATTCTATCAAGTGTGTTTTGAGATTATTCAGGATGATCTATTGGCTGCAGTTACTTCTTTTTTTAATGGTAATATTATGCCTAGATATATGACTCATGCTTGCCTAGTATTGCTCCCTAAAGTTGATCATCCCAACAAGTTGAAAGATTATAGGCCTGTTAGCCTTAGTAATTTCACCCACAAAATTATTTCCAAAATTCTGAGTACTAGATTGGCTTATATTCTCCCCAAGATTGTATCAGATAACCAATCTGGTTTTGTTAAAGGAAGGAGTATCTCTGAGAATATTATGTTAGCACAAGAAATTATCCATGGAATTAAACTACCTACAGAGGGTAGGAATGCAGTCATTAAATTGGATATGGTCAAAGCATATGACAGAGTTTCATGGGCTTACACTTGTATTGTTTTAAGAAAAATGGGGTTTAGTGAACTATTCATTGATAGAGCCTGGAGAATCATGAGCAACAACTGGTATTCTATAGTGATTAATTGAAAAAGGCATGGCTTTTTTCACTCTACAAGGGGTCTTAAGCAAGGAGATCCTCTGTCTCCAGCCCTTTTTATTATTGGTGCTGAAGTGCTGTCAAGGAAGTTAAATCTTCTTTATAATAATAAGTTGTACAAAGGTTTCAACATGGAGAAAAAGAGGCCTCATATTAATCATTTGAGTTTTGCAGATGATATTATTATCTTCACTTCCACTGATAGACATTCTCTACAGCTAATTATGAATATTATTAAGGATTATGAGAAAGTGTCTGATCAAAAGGTGAACAAAGAGAAAAGTTTTTTCATGGTCACATCAAAAACTAACCATGATATTATTGAGGACATTAAGCTAGTAACAGGTTTTGGTATGAAGGAGAGTCCTATTAAGTATTTAGGATGCCCTTTATACATTGGTGGACAAAGAAATATCTATTTTTCAGAAGTTGTGGAAAAGGTGATAAATAGGATTTCTGGCTGGCAAGCAAAAATTTTAAACTTTGGAGGTAAAATAACTCTGGTGAAACATGTACTGCAACCCATTCCTATACATACTCTAGTTGTTATGTCTCCTCCAAAAACTACTCTTAACTATATTAAGAAAGCAATTGCAGACTTCTTTTGGGGGTTGGATAAGGATGGTAAGAAGTACCACTGGGCTTCTTGGAACACTTTGGCTTATCCTACTAATGAGGGGGGTATTGGGGTAAGATTGTTAGATGATGTTAGTAAAGCCTTTCAGTACAAACATTGGTGGGAATTCAGAACAAAGAAATCTTTGTGGAGTCAGTTTTTGAAGGCTAAGTACTGTCAAAGAGCCAATACAGTGGCTAAGAAGTATGACACATGTGATTCTTTGGTATGGAGATATTTAACAAGGAATAGATCAGAAGTGGAACCTCATATCAAATGGAATATCAATTCAGGAACTTCAAGCTTTTGGTGGGATAATTGGTTAGGTAATGGTGCAATAGCTAATTATAGTGACAACATCTCAAGTTTGAATAACATTGTAGTGGCTGAGTTTTTCACATATGGAAAATGGAATGAAAGGTACATTAGACAACAGGTGCAACCACTGTTGATTCCTCATATTTTGCAAACAAAAATAATTTATCAAGAAGGAGTAGAAGATACTTCTATATGGATGCCAGAGGATGATGGAAAATTCTCTATTTCTTCAGCATATGAGATTATTAGAAAGAAGAAGCATATTGATCCTATTAAAAATATTATTTTGCATAAACATATTCCATTTAAGTTTGCCTTCTTTATTTGGAAAGCATTACAGGGTAAACTTCCAACCAATGAAAGTTTACAGAAATTTGGAAGACCTGCAGAAGACTGTTATTGTTGCTATAAACAAGGAAAAGATGATATTAACCACATATTGCTTACTGGAAATTTTGCCAACTTTATTTGGAAATATCATGCTACCAAACTGGGAGTAACAAAGCTTTATACAAATATCAGAAGCCAACTTATGCATTGGAGGAATC